TGCCACAGCCACTCTGGGTGGCTTCCAACATACATTGGTTCCTCAGGTTACAAACGCTTCGGATTACGTGTTTTCAGGTTGCGGACCGCGGGAAACCCAGAAGTACCGGAAAGGGTTACTTCCGGGTTTCGCCGCTCGCGCATGCGCAGAAGCGCTAAATCACATCATCCGCATGTGCAGACACAGCGCTGCAGGTTACGAACGCTGCGGGTTGCGGACGTGCCTCCGTCACGGATTACGTCCACTACCCGAGGTTCCACTGTATATAAAAACATAATATACAGTGGAACCTCGGGATTGCGGAATTGGCAAAACTGACATACAAATTACGTGACAAAGATACCTTAACTGTGATTTTAAAGATGAATGGGAACCTTTTACGAAATATTTGAAGAAAGAACAATACGAACTGGACTCCTTGGCAGGTTTTGAATAAACGTTCACAAAATCTTTATTGGCAATATACAGATAGATAAATTAAGGACCATTACAATTTTATAACATGCAGATAAAAACATATGTTGAGAAACCAGAGATAGGAGCTGAGAGAAGTAGCGGGGAGGGATTGGGAGGGTGGGCATAAGTGTTTTTTTTTGGGGGGGATGGGGAAAAAAACAATGTGGATGATGTATTTTTGTTAAAATTATTGTGTTGAAATTCTTAATAAAAATATTTTTTAAAAAATAAATAAAATTCACCGCATGTTATAATTTGAAAAAAATAAAATAAATAAAAACAAAAACATAATAAAACATTAAACATTTATTTTTTTAAAAAAACCTTCCCTGTACAGGGCAACCTTCAGATGTCTTCTGAAGGTTGTATAGTTTCTTATCTCCTTGACTCAGTGGTCACACGACTGCAAAACCTCCAACATTTCTTGGATGAAATAGGGGTGTCCTAAGGAAAAGTGGGACATTCCAGGATCAAATCTGAAACCATGACGGCTTCTGTAAATCTGGGAATCTCCCTGGAAAATAGGGACACTTGGAGAATTTGGGCTTGTCCCATTGCTCCTTACGTCGGAATGTTGCCCACGGCCCACACTGACAGCATCATATGAGAAACTAGAAGTTAATGAAAGTGATTCTATCATGGCCTTTCCGCTGGTTCACTCATTTGCTATGTGCAGTGGTTTTGATTACAGTCGTACCTTGGTTCTCAAACGTAATCCGTTCCGGAAGTCCGTTCAACTCCCGAAACCGTTCGAAAACCAAGGCGCGGCTTCCGATTGGCTGCAGGAGCTTCCTGCACTCAAGCGAAAGCCAAGTCGGATGTTTGGCTTCCAAAAAATGTTTGAAAACCAGAACAATCACTTCCAGCTTTTTGGTGTTCGAGAACCAAAACGTACAAGTACCAAGGTGTTTGAGGACCAAGGTACGACTCTATTACTGTAGGAACATTGTTCCCTCTTGTGAGTTCTCCTGCACAGTCTAACGGAGTACAGGCCAGTCAGTGGAGTCAGTGAAAACTGACCTATAAACAATTGATTTCAGTGGGAGTTTGACCAAGCTTGGCTACTCACATATGTATAATAAGCAGGCCCTTATTTTCCGTGAATCTCCGGGAAACAGAGGGTAAAGGTCAAATCCATGTCACACATTTGAAGCACATCCATTGGACATTTAAAGCATGTCACTCTACCCCCCAAGAATCCTAGGAACTGTAGTCCCCCCTCACAGGGCTAGAATTTCCTGAATCCTTAAACTACAGTTCCCAGAATTCTTTGGGAGGAGTCATGTGCTTTAAATGTCCGTTGACTGTACATTGGATGGTGTGAGTCTGCCCAAATTTGGTCTCAACAAATGTATGTGTTTGTCATTCTCTGGAAAGCATATTTTAGGCCAGCCTCAGTCCTCCCAAACCATACACACTTGGGCAGAAAAATCAGCATCTATTAAAAAACAAGGATTATCTTGCCTTCCTCAGCATATTTGAATTCAAGGATTAACATTGTTCCTCATTCTTTCTTTTATTTCTCACTTAATTATTAGGCAGTCTCTTTGGATTTTGAAGGACTCTCTGTGGCTGGACTGTGACTCGGGGATGCCATTTCCTCCTCATGTGGCTTATTCCCTGCATAGCACTGAAGCCATGTTGGTGGGACTGCTGTCTGCTGAAATAGGCCTACAAGTGGTGTGTGGTTCTTTCAGAAAGTACCATGGTTTTCCTAAAGACCATCAAACGTGGAGAATATTCCTTGTGCTCCAGAGAAATGAAGAGAGACGGCGCTGGAATAAGGGAGTTTCCCGCCAAATAAGGGAAGGTTGACAGCTATGCCCTAGAGAGTGCTTGAAGCAGAAAGCCGCCCCCAGATGATACAAGAATGGATAGGTGAACAGTAAATTCTTTTAAAGTAAAATCATCCAAAGCATTCTTTGTGAAATGAATGTGTGGTGTGTTAATTGTTGTTGTTTTGGCAGGGAGGTGAGTCAGAGCTGATTAATTATTCCCGTTTTCCACCAGATGGGAAGTAAGCATCTTCTTTTTTTCAATGAGCGTATAAGGGAAAATGGACCATACACACACACGCACAAAGTCAATCCTCACACAACATGCAGACAAAACATCAAAGCCAATCCTCATTATGTTCAGTGTGTGTGTGTTTTCTAAAAATGTTTTTTAATGAAGATTCCTTAAGTATACAAAAACAGTGAGATGTCTCTTTCTTCAAGTTATGATTTCTACAATTCAGTTGCATTTGTTATGAGACATTCATGATACATACAATGTTAGGTTAGGAAGAAAAGAGGGGGAGTGGGGTTGGGTGGTTACCGTATTTTTCGCTCCATAAGATGCACTTTTTTCTTCCTAAAAAGTAAGGGGAAATGTCTGCGCGGCTTATGGAGCGAATGTGTGGTCCCTGGAGCCAAATTGCCCAGGGACAAAAATCAGATCATGCTTTTTTTTTTGAAAGAGGGAAGTGGGTGTTGAAACAAAGCCACTGATCCTTTGCCGATCGGGGAGAGAGATAAGGGATGCTAGAGATAAAGGAGGCTGCCTGGGAGCGGGGAGGTAAAGACAGCAAACTTGCAAAGGGGGAAAACAGGAACACTAAAGCAATAAGGAGAGAAATTAGAAGAAAAGGAGGAGCAAAAAACTGCTCCAGCTAAGGAAAAGACACTAAGGCAAACAATAGGGAAGGGAGCGTTGAAAGGAAACATCTGATCGGTGCGATTGGAAGAGAGATAAGGGATGCTAGCGGAGACTGCCTGGGAGGGGGGAGGTAAAAGCCCATGGATCCTCAGGATTTTTACATTGGGTCACCCCAAATTCACCATCAGATCACATAGCATGTCCATGGCTGTCCTGCACCACAAAAATCATACACCCACTGTTGCGTGGGGCTGCAGTGGTGCAAAAACGTGGTTACAAAGCACGGATCCTCAGGATTTTTGCGTTGGGTCACCCCAAATTCATCATCAGATCACATGTCTGTGGCCACAGCATGAACCACAAAAAACATACATCCACTGTTTCGTTCAGAATATTTTTTTTCTTGTTTTCCTCCTCTAAAAACTAGGTGCATCTTATGGTCCGGTGTGTCTTATGGAGCGAAAAATACGGTATGTTTCTATTCTTCTACTTAGTGTATGTGTGGGGTTTTGTTTCAACGTTATGTGTATGGGTTTTCTCACTATTCACTTGTTGTGTTTCCTTGGTGATGAGAGAGGTAGAGTGCCTAGGGTGTGATTGGTTGTCCTTGGGTGACTGTAGTGAGATCTATTTGTGTGTGTGAGCGGGATGTGTGAGTGTGTATTTTAAAAAATCAGGTTAGCTAGATTGATTTGTATGCTGTTTTGTCGGTACCTTGTTGGGCTGTGTACGTGATAAAGGGGAGCCATACCGGGGTGAAGGCATCTTCTTCTATTTGTCCCCATGTCAGTTTCAGTTTTTGGGTTAGTTTTTCTAATAGGGCCGTTTCCCATACTACTTGATACCAATGGTCCATAGCTACTACTGATGTTCAGAGTCCGTTGATGTTGCAAAAAGTACCTGGTAAATGCAAGTTAGAGGTGAAACAAATTTGCTGCCTGTAAATCCTGGTTGGCAAAATTCAAAGTCTAACGTCTACTAAGTTTTAATATCTGGCAATAAACTGGCTATGGCGATGGTTTTCACTGTTCAGAATTAATAGTTGTCGGGGGAGGTTGTTCTTTGCTTAGGAGTAGGGATGGGCGAATCTCTCCATTTCAGTGCCTCTCAGATTCGTGTCTTTCCACTCTCAAGTTTGGCTCTCCACATTTCCTCATCAGTTTGCAATTAAAAAAAAAAGAAATCTCATGAAAATTTATCAGCATTTTAATGCAAATTTCTCCTACTTTACTCATTTTGCAAAACATTTGCAAAATAGCATTTTTGTATGCTCTTTTCACTAATAAGTGCATTTCTATGCCCACTTTGCCCTGATATATGCATTTTTGTAAGTATTGCTTGGCCATTGCAAAATTTAAAGAAGTGTGAAATACGAAAGATGGCCCTTTCTGTAGCCTGGAAAAGGAAATGTACTGATAATGTGCTGATAAGTGTGGGATGAAAAAATGACGAATGAGAAGACTTTTCCCCCTCATAAGGTTTTATTAAAGCATTTTTAATAATACAATAGGGACGCGGGTGGCGCTGTGGGTAAAACCTCAGCGCCTAGGACTTGCCGATCGCATGGTCGGCGGTTCGAATCCCCGCGGCGGGGTGCGCTCCCGTCGTTCTGTCCCAGCGCCTGCCAACCTAGCAGTTCGAAAGCACCTCCGGGTGCAAGTAGATAAATAGGGACCGCTTACCAGCGGGAAGGTAAACTGTGTTCCGTGTGCTGCTCTGGTGCCGGTTCACCGGAGCAGCTTCGTCACGCTGGCCACGTGACCCGGAAGTGTCTGCGGACAGCGCTGGCTCCCGGCCTATAGAGTGAGATGAGCGCACAACCCTAGAGTCTGGCAAGAATGGCCCGTACGGGCAGGGGTACCTTTACCTTTACCTTTAATTTTTTTTTTTAATAATTTTTTATTAAGGTTTTAAACAAACAAAAAAGAAAAACAACACACACAAAAAACAATACAAAACTTAACAATAAAAACACAAAACATAACAATTAAAAATAAACTCTCTTTTCCATTTCCAATTTTAAATTACTTATTTTCTGGACTTCCTCATACCTCCCTCTTTTGTATTCCAATCCACATTATTTGTCCAGCAGTTTCTTTTCCACTTTTTTAATCCCAATCTTTAATTTAATAAAACGTTAAAATATATAACTTCAACTTTTTTTAAACCTAATCCTTGATCTTAATGTCATATAGCTTTAAATTTTTCCCTTTTATTATCAAATTTCCATTTCTTTAAACATCCTTACTCTTGATCTTTAATCTTAATCTATCCTTAACTTTAACCTGTACAGCTGGAAACCACTTGTTTTCAATCCAACATCACTCTAACATTCCTTAATTTTGCAGTGTTTCTGAAGATAGTCTTTGAATTTCTTCCAGTCTTCCTCCATCGACTCTTCTCCCTGGTCACGGATTCTACCAGTCATTTCTGCCAATTCCATATAGTCCATAAGTTTCATCTGCCATTCCTCCAGCGTGGGAAGTTCTTGTGTCTTCCAATACTTTGCGATAAGTATTCTTGCTGCTGTTACCTTTACCTTTAATAATGACCACTCCCCACTTAAAACGGGGGGGCGCCCTTTGCGTGGACGCGCGCAGCCCTGGATCTGGAGCAGCCCCATCAGCATAGGCTTGGCTTTGCCTTCCCTCAGGTGGGATACCTGGAGGTCCCCGCCTACCTCAGTCAGTTGCCCAATCCCACCTGGGGGAAGCGTTGTACGGGCAGGGGTACCTTTACCTTTACCTTTAATAATACAATAAGATAAAAGAAACTAACCTAAATAAAAACAAAAACAGAGAAAGAAAGAGAAAAGAAACAGAAAGTTTTGGGTCTTCCCAACTTTTACATGGGAGTTTTCCTTTCCTCTCCCAGTCTCCCACCCTGGGAGATCTTCCCTTCCCTGCATCTCACTCAGGTTCCTGCCACCAACCACCTACCACCTTCATGTGTGTGTAACCCTTTGACCATGAATGGGAAGACTTATAAGCACTGCATAAGCAAATCAGGATGAACTCAGGATCAGTGGCATAGCATGGGTTGCCAGCGCCCCGGCCTGCATGGAAGGGGAGTTGGACATAGTATGCATGTGCATTCAACTGCCTAATGACATCCACGTCACCCAGAAGATCACAGAAAACAAAAGTCGTTCTGTTGTCTGGAGAAATCACTTCCTGCTTCTCATGGAGAAATCATTTTCTCTTGAGTCCAGTGACAGAAGTGAGCAGCTGTATTAAGTGCTTAAATTTTGCACCCTTAACAATTTTGCAGTCAGGGCAACTGCCCCTGTGCCCCCCTGCCCACTACGCCACTGCTCAGGATGAATAATCATTCATATATAACCTCCCTACAAAAAAAATCTGAAGAAACTCTTAATAAAGACCAGGCACAGTCTAACCTCTGTGTAAGCTTTGTGAAAGCAAATTGGAACGAACGCTCAATAGGCTGTTGGATGAGCCCCAAGAGTGGATCTATGCCCTTTGCTCTGGGGTAAGAGGGGTCTGAGAATACAACGAGACATTGCCTCTTGAGGAGAAAACCACAAAGCTGCAGCCAATCCTGGCTCTCGGATGCAGGTATCTCCAGGCATGGGCTTTATCTCATTCACACCGGGTATTTTCAGGCATATACTTAAAACATTTCCAGTGTATGCCTAACAACAAAAAACGTGTGAAGAATCCCACAGGCCAGCCCACATCCTAGCCAATGGAAACGACCTTTCCAGCTCGGAAAACAGGACTTGCCAGACTGCCTCGGGAAACGTTGCGCAAATATAAACCTTGAAATGAAAATCAGAGAAGAAAACGAAGGGAAAGCCTCGCCAGCTCGTGTCAGTCTGCTCTTCACCTTGCAGCTTTTTCAAAAACAGTCTACTAAAACCGATACTCTAAATGTGATTAAACTCTGAGCGCTCGAGGCTTCAGCCAGCCAAACAGACTTTCAAGTGGCTTTTCCTGTTAACATAATGTTACATGTAAGCAGTCGGCGGAGCCAAGTTTTACCAGGAAAAGGGCTCTCAATGAAACGTCAAGCTGGGTTTCAGCAGGTTCCCTGTTCCTTCCTATATTTACACGTCTGGGGCTGCATCGATCTGCAAGTGGCGGAGGAGGATAAATTCTACATCTTGCAAATAGGTTAGCGTTGCCTGTGATAATGAGCACCCTTTAAAACACACACACACACACACACACACACACACACCAGAATAATTGTACCGAATCCTGCGAAGGTTCAACCGTTTCATTAGCAGACTGAAAACAGCAACGTTTCAGATTTCATTGAAATCAGATGTAAATGCCTGCGTTCCAAGATCAATTGGAAACAAAAAGAAGGGACGGCGTTAAGCCACGGTAACTAGACAAGGAAGAGCCGGGCAAATTGTCAGACAAGAGACGCGATGCTGAAATAGTTCATCTGGCACCAATAGCTTCTCACGGTCATCCTCTGCAGTTACTATGAAAGAAAAAAGGGGTGTGCTTTCAGGTAGCTGCGTCCATCGTAAGCAGGTGTCTTGCTATGTAAAGGGTAAAGGGGACCCCTGACCATTAGGTCCAGTCGTGACCGACTCTGGGGTTGCGGCGCTCATCTCGCTTTATTGGCCAAGGGAGCCGGTGTACAGCTTCCGGGTCATGTGGCCAGCATGACTAAGCCGCTTCTGGCAAACCAGAGCAGCACACGGAAACGCCATTTACCTTCCCGCCGGAGCGGTACCTATTTATCTACTTGCACATGACGTCCTTTTGAACTGCTAGGTTGGCAGGAGCTGGGACCGAGCAACGGGAGCTCACCCCATCACGGGGATTCAAACCGCCGACCTTCTGATCGGCAAGTCCTAGGCTCTGTGGTTTAAACCACAGTGCCACCCGCGTCCCGTGTCTTGCTATGAGCTGCATCCTAATTGACAGGTTTGTTTGAGGACCACTTACTCTTAAAAAGCACAGGAACAATCCAGTTAAAGTGAAGCATGTGTACGTCCTTTTAGTTTCAGTGGGAAAGTTATGCACATGCTTAAACTTATTCCACTGAAATAAATGGAATGTGAAAGTACTTAATTTGTGCTGGACTGGGAGTCGGAGGAAGCCATCTCCAGTTGCTGTGCCAGGTGACTGATGCATGCAGGAAGTTGTGTTCCATCAGGACTTATTCAATGTGTACAACGAGAGCTGCATGACAAGGTGACACTGTGCAAATCCAGGCATCTCTGCCTCCTTGCTGATTCCTGTCCCATCAAACTGCATCTCCCAGCAAGAAGTGCCACCAAATCTGTTCTTACAACCAATCTCGCCACTCCAAGATGTGCTTTTCAGTTTACAATACCAGAGGGGTGGAAGTCCAGAAACTAAACTTCCATGCCCCTGACATTGTCTTTTGGAATGGAACTTCGGGAAGGAAGGCTAGGATTCTGTTGGACAAGCAGAAGAGACGTCTCTTATAGAGTGGTGGAGTATCTTAACAGTTCCTTCTAATTTAATCTTTGAACCCAAGTCCACGCCATCTGGAACTACTAAGATAACGTTGGAAACACTCATGGTTTACTTTCTGAGACCCTTTAATTAATGTGTATTTTCTCTGAGAAGCTGAACCGATTGTGGGTTGGGTGTGTTTGTTGCCTCCAGTATTTAGGAGAGACCACCCGATTGCTTGGTAGTTGCTACTGTACTGAGTGATGTAGGAAAGGCCCGCAGATACTGTAGTTACTGAATCTAGACTTTCCAGAATACCTGATGTATATATAAATAATCAGGATTTGTTATTTACTAATTTATGGAATTTGCATACCACCCTTCATCTACAGATCTCAGGGTGGTTCACAACATAAAAATACAAGATAAAAAACACAAAGTACATAAGAACAAACACAAACCAATCATCCCCTCCTCTCACAACATATTTAGAAGGTCATCGGATATCAATCAGCCCAAGGCCTGGTTGAAGAGAAGCGTTTTCACCTTGCGCCTAAAAATATATAATGAAGGCGCCAGGCAAGTTTCCCTGGGGAGAGCATTCCACAAATGGGGAGCTCCTACAGAGAAGGCCAGTTCTCGTGTTGCCACCCTCCAGACCTCACATGGAGGAGGCGCATGAAGAAGGACCTCAGAGGATGCTCTTAGAGTCCTGGTAGGTTCATGTGGAGAGAGGCAGTCCTTAAGGTATTGCGGTCGTGGGCCGTAAATGCCTTTGGCAACCACATCTTTGACCCTGCCCCAACGCAAAGAGAGATGGAAGGGGGCTCCTCTTTCTTGATGTCACGCTGGGCGGACATGCTGTCCTGACGTCAAGGCAAGAGCCCACCTTCCCCTGAGTTCAGAGAAAGGCGGGGACTTTCCTCTGACCTCGAGTGGTAGCTTCAGGTAATTGAGATTCTGGACATAACGGTCTTGTGAATGGGGGCTGTTTATGTGTATCGTTTCACAATGTGCTAGGCCAGCCCTGTTTTCTTTGGGGGCCTTCCCGGCTAATTTTGCTAAGTGGGCCCTGGACTTCTGCTCCAAAGTCCCATCTTGGTGGCACCTGATGTTGACCTAGCTTTGGGTTTTTGATGTTGTTGTTTAGTCATTTAGTTGTGTCTGACTCTTCGTGACCCCATGGACCAGAGCACGCCAGGCACTCCTGTCTTCCACTGCCTCCCGCAGTTTGGTCAAACTCATGCTGGTAGCTTCGAGAACACTGTCCAACCATCTCGCCCTCTGCTGTCCCCTTCTCCTTGTGCCCTCCATCTTTCCCAACATCAGGGTCTTTTTCAGGGAGTCTTCTCTTCTCATGAGGTGGCCAAAGTATTGGAGCCTCAGCTTCACAATCTGTCCTTCCAGTGAGCACTCAGTACTGATTTCCTTCTGAATGGATAGGTTTGACCTTCTTGCAGTCCATGGGACTCTCAAGAGTCTCCTCCAGCACCACAATTCAAAAGCATCGATTCTTCGGTGATCAGCCTTCTTTATGGTCCAGCTCTCATTTCCATACATCACTACTGGGCTTTGGGTTTTAGGGGCACCCAAAGTTGTTTGCCATGACAGTGGAAATACCAAGCCCATCGCATCTTCCAACTGAGTCAGGAGAAAGGTGGAGGTCTCCTGTCTGACCAGTTTGCAATGGACTTAAGAATGAAGCGTTTATTCTGCCCCTGCCCCACATTCCTTTAGACATGCGCCCACTTGCACTCCCATCCCTGTTCTTGAAAAAGCCATTTCTGCTCCAGCTTGCCCCATTTGTTCCCAGCTATAAGCTCCAGCTCATTAAACAACATGTGCATGGCTTTGCATAGAGACAACAGCCTGGGGCTGTTTATGTGACCATTTCTGCGAGATTGATTTTTTTAAATGAATGCTTTATCTGCCTGAGCTATTTATAAAATGTGTGTGATTTTTAAAAATGTAAATAACTTTCAACCTATTGAAGAGCAGTGTGTAATGTTAATAAAATAATGAAGAACTGAGAACTGGAGGAGAGAATTGCTGGATCAGAGCAAAAGCCCATCGAGTCCAGAACGCTGTTCATAAAGCAGCCA